ACTGATACCAGCACTGGATCTCGACAGAGGTCATAATTCCTGCTGCCACCCGAATTCAGGTGCTCAGTGCCAGGACCTGTCAAAAGTCATACCTCGGATAGGTTGGCAACCCTTCTAGTTAAGCCAACCCAAGAAAGCTTCGATACATATTCTTGGTTCTTTCGGTAAAGTCACGTAGAAGGGAAATAAAAAATATATAAATAAAACATAATCAAATAGAGAGATTTAAAGTTTTCGTGACTGCAGGGATTGATATTCTTGGTTCTTTCGGTAAAATCACGTAGAAGGGAAAAATAAAAATAATAATAAAATAAAGAGCTGTCGGAAAGACAGCGTCCTAGGACGCTGTCTTTCCGACAGCTCTGTTCTTCACCTGAGGATGGCTGCTTGCGTTGTGGCCGAAACGTCGTGAGAATTTTGTTTTATTTTCATTATTTTATTATTTCCCTTCTACGTGACCTTACCGAAAGAACCAAGAATATGAATCCCTGCAGTCACGAAAGCTTTAAATCGAAAGCTTAGAGACACTCATGCAACGTGCCATTTGAAGCTGCGGCCTGTACAACAACATTGACTGGCACGTGTCATGACGGGCACCGCAAGGATCTGCCCATATCCGTCCAGGCAGGGGCGGAGCCAGGATTTCAGGCCGGGGTGACATTCAACAAATGTTAATTTCAAGAATGATTAAGAGAGAGTCAGGCTGTTGAACTAGACGCCATCGGTTGGCGACACGCTCTGACAATGCAGTTGCACGGAGTCCGCCAGACCGAGTGTCGTGCACTTATACGCAGAATGTCACCCCCGTCACCCCCCCCTGGCTCCGCCCCTGCGTCCAGGTACTTGCTGAGCTGCTTTGGCTTCTGGCTGCTGAACGAATGTATGATCAGGCCGTGCTCATTGCGCCACAAATGAACCACAGTGCTTATCTGATCTCGTCAAGGAGCGTGAATCGTCATCGCGTGAACTGCGGTCATCCTCGACAGCGGCGGATTTTGGCTCGGCCATTGAACAAAGACGGTCACTTGATTAGACCTCCTTTGCCAGTACCAAAATATAATAATAGGGGTTTTTCCCCTTTTTTGTTTTTCTGGCAACAATACTGAAACCTTTTTTTTTACAAGGATTCATGTTACTGCATTAACCACAATACTTGCAGTCAAATGCAAACAAAAAACACACTCATGATAATATATGATGCATTGTCCTTGAAACTGATTGCTCCAAACCAGAGACAGCTTTCTTTAGAGCCAAGTCTCAATTGGTGCTCGACTTTTTTAGCGTCATCTGGTCGAGCACCAATTGAGACGAGGCTCAAAAGAAAGCCGTCTCTGGTGTGGACCAATCAGTTTCAAGGACAATGCATCATATATTATCATGAGTGTGTTTTTTGTTTGCATTTTGACCGCAAGTATTGTGGTTAATGCAGTAAACATGAATCCTTGTAATAAGGTTTCAGTTTTGTTGCCAGAAAAAAAGGGAAAAGCCCTATTATTAAAGACGGTCACTGTATCGCACGGCGCTTTCAGATGCGCTTCTGCGGCCGTCTGGAACGCTCTTCCCTTCCGATATTAGGAAGCCACTGGGAGCTGTGCACTTTTAAATCATCATCATCATCTAGATTGATAAACTAATTTCTTTCGAACTGCTTCTTGTGTTTAGTTTGTTGTCCTTCCCCCGCACCTCCGATTGGCTACGAAATAAGTTCAACGTACGTGCACATACATTCAGGAGCTGATTGGTCAACCTCTCAACCCGTCCGCCCCTTACCAGGCCGGGCCAGGTGATGCCCGGGAGCCCAGCCGCGCAGGTGACGTGGGTGATGGGCTCACGCGTGCATGGGTGAGCGTGGCCTCCCAGAGTCACAGGGGGCCCGGGGGCCTCCGTCCGCGCTGCTGGGCCCTCGCCTCCCAGAGCAGGGGGCGACGGCCGCTGCGATGAGGGCGGAGGAGCCGCAGGCCGTGCTGGCCAGACAGGGAAGAGGAGGTGGTGGAGGGGGCGGAGAGAGCGGGGGAACGCCGGTGCCAACCGGGGCACAGGCGTCGTTCCTGCAGGGCCTGCTGCAGGAGCAGCAGCAGCAGCAGCAGGTGGGACGTGGGTGTGTGTTCGTGTGGGTGTGTGTAGGTGTGTGTGTGTATGTGTGTGGGGAGCGGTAGTGTAGTGGTTAGCGCTACGCTGCGCTACGAACCTGGCGACCCGGGTTCGATTCCCGCTCACGGCCAACACCAGTGACGATTATCTGAACTGGTCCTGGGCATCCCCTAGGTCGACTCAGCCTCAAATGAGTACCTGGTGCGATGTGTAAACATCCTGACTGGGGTGACAAAGGCCGCCGGGCGTGGTGTTGGCCACCCACCCCCTCGTGTGCCGTGCCGGCCTTTATAGGTGCTCGCTGACAGCACTTGCCCCTACAGTCTATGAAGGCTATACGGGGGATCTTTGTGTGTCACGTGCTCGCTAACAGCACTTGCCCCAACTGTCTGTTACGGCTATACGGGAGATTTTTGTTTGTCTTTGTGTATATATCTGTGTGTCCACGTGTCCATGTGTGTGTGTGTACTGCTGCAGATGTGGCAGGCGGGGCATCAGGATGCGGCTCAGAGGCAGCAGCAGCAGCAGCAGGTGGAGCAACTGCTGCGATTGCAGAACGAGCAGCAGCAGCAGAGAATTCTGGGACTGCTGTCCTCAGCCTTTGCTCGCCCTGGCAGTGGTGCGCCACCATTGCGGACATCATCACCGACATCATCAGCGACATCGTCGACATCATCACCGACATCGCCATTATCGACATCATCACCGACATCATCGCCGTCATCGACATCATCACCATCATCAACATCGATTTTGTATCACCGACATCCGCCACTTTCACCGATATCACCGCCACTGTTACTGACATCAACATCACCAACATCACTACCGAAATCACGGACATTGTCACCATCAACATCGTAGATCCGACATCACCATTGTCACTGATATTACAGCCACTCTTACCGCCATCATCACTGACATCACAACCGCCATCACAAACATCACCAATGAGATCACTCCTCCAGTGACGCAGTATGAATCCACTTTGTAATCGCTCTGTCCATTGCATTGCTTCTCATCAATCGCAGGTTTCCCGGTCTCATTTCCCGTCGGCTTTCCCTCCGACCTCACATCGCTGGCCTTCTCTACGGCGATGCCCCAGTTCAACCCCTTCAGCCTACTCGCGGCAGCTGGTGCCCACCTACCCACGATGATGCACCAGCAGCAGCAGCAGGAGGTGCTATCCGCGTCGACCATGCCACCCTTCGGCCTTCCCACGGGAGCGCATTCTGAGAACGCCAGCATCAGCAGCAGCACCAGCGCCAACCGCACTCCGGGTGAGGCCATGCGCCAGCGCTGGGTGGCAGGCGTGACCCCAGATGCCAGATCTCGATCTGGCATCGTGCGCCGGGCTCCTTAAAGCAGAAAGTCATCGAATGTGTCTCAGCAAAGTTGCCCGGTTGCCTTTGGGTGTTTCGTCCCGGATTCTTTCAAGTGTTCTTTCGTAGAACCAGGATAGGAGTCACATTTGCAAGAGTGACCTGGGGCACGAGCCTGCCAAGAGGGGGCAATGATTGCTGCTGCCGTGGTTGTGTATGTGTGTATGTGTGTGTATGTGTGTGTGAGTGTGTGTGTATGTGTGTATGTGTGTGTATGTGTGTGTGTATGTGTGTGTGTATGTGTGTGTGTATGTGGGGAGTGATAGTGTAGCGGTTAGCGCGCTGTGCTATGAACCTGGCGACCCGGGTTCGATTCCCGCTCACGGCCGTCACCAGTGACGATTATCCGAACCGGTCCTGGGCCTCCCCTAGGTCGACTCAGCCTCAAATGAGTACCTGGTGCGGTGTGCAAACATTGCCACTAGGGAGACAAAGGCGGTCGGGCGTGGTGCTGGCCACCCACCCCCTCGTGTACCGTTCCGGCCTTCATAGGTGCTAGCTAACAGCACTTGCCCCTACAGTCTGTTAAGGCTATACGGGGGATCTTTGTCTTTGTTTGCTTTTGTGCATGTGTGTGTGTGTATAATCCCAATCGAAGTCATTTGCGATGGAATTAAATTTTGTATTAACTTGGTAAACTTGGACCCTGACGCCGGTACACAATGGCCTACTCCTGCGAATTATGTCGCGGGATCTTTAACGTCCACCGAGTGAAGCAGACGGTGCATAGTGTTGTGGTGCGCCACCATCACCGACATCAGCGCCATCACCGACATCACCGACATCATCGCTATCATCGACATCATTGACATCACCGACATTACCGACATCACCGCCACCATCGACATCACCGACATCACCGCCATCATTGACATCACCGACATCACCGCCATCATCGAGTGAAGCGGACGGCACGTAGTGTTGTTACGGCAATTCCAACCGTAGGATAATCACCGTGGACCTGTCCACTAAGTGGCTTTTAATTTGATCGACCCCCCAAATGGATGATGGGCTGAGTTCAATCGCCAACAAGGATTTGGACTCCACCGCTGATCCACCTGGACGGACAGAGATCATAACGCCTTCACGCTTTTAACTTTCCTTGGAAAGCATTTTTTAAAATATCCCTAGATATCACTAGATAAGACCTTCTAACGTCATCATAAATATCATCAGACATGTCACGTACTATACGTTGAACTTCTTTCGCACCGTCCGTAGCCAACCGTGCTAATTGGAGTGTTGAACCGAGTGAACCGATGGAAGGTCCCTAACACGCACCTGGAGTCGCCCTTGAATCTGCATGATGCCCTCGCTCCAGAAAGTCGCCAGGTCTGTCGCGAGTCTCTTTGGCAATACTTTGTTGCTCGGGGAAAACCAAAAAGTTGCTCGGATCTCGTGACGAAAATCACGGATTTGGCAAAGCGGATCCTGAAACCAGATCTCAATACCGGATACCAGATCCTATAAACTGCACCATTGTCATCTCTGGTACATCCGGTGAATGCCGGTTATCATTGTCCAGTGTCTGGAACTTTTATCGTGCAGCCCGTTTAGTCAGTCCACTGCTGGCGATGTCACGACGTTACCATCCGCGTGTCTCACAGAGTTGTCCTGGTGGGCCCTCAAGTACTTGTCCTCCCAGGCTGACGGTAACCTCGCCAAAACCCTCACCACAACCCTCACCACGACCCCCACCACATACCTCACCACAGCCCTCACCACGAGTTTACCGTATCCATCGCCACAATCCTCACCACAACCCTGACCACGACCCCCACCACATACCTCACCACAGCCCTCACCACGAGTTTACCGTATCCATCGCCACAATCCTCACCACAACCCCGTCACCCATCACCACCCCCCCCCCCCATCATCACCCCTCGCCACATCCCACCCACGTCCATTGCCCTCGGCCTCATCACATCGCTCACCGCATCCCTCGTGTTTCACGCTCATCGCTGCGTCTCTCAACGCAATCGCCACGTGCCTCACCACGACCCCAGCTTTACCTCTGCATGACCCTAACCTCACGCTCACTTTCCCCATCACTCTTGGCCATCCCCTGTCTCTGTGTCCCCATGTCTCCCCTTTGTCCCATCCCTCTCGCTGTCTCCCCCTCTCCTCTCTGCGTGTCCCCTCCTCCATGTCTTCATGTCTCCCCGTTTGTCCCGATGCCTTCCGTCTCCACGTCCCCATGTCCTGCTACGTGTCCCCACGTCTCTCGGCCGGTGTCTAAATGTCTCCCCTGTCACACCAATCCTCCCTCCTCCTCCTCCCTCCCCCCTCCTCCTCCCTCCTCCTCCTCCGTGACGTGTGGCGGCTACCTGCCCCAACAGTCTGTCGAGGCCTTACGGGAGAATCTTCGTCTTTTGCCTCCGTAGGCGACGGCGAGAGGGGAGCGCCCTCGGTGGGCTCGGCGTCGTCCAGCGACCGGAACGAGTGGCGCCCGGCGACGCACGGCGCCGCCCGTCCCCACGCCGAAGACGCCGACACGACTCTCGGTGAGTGGGGCACGCACGCCTGCCTTCGGCCGTCCGTGTTGTAGGGGGCACGGCCGGTGCATCCGCCTGCCAGTCAACCCGTGGTCTGTCCCCGTGACCTTCTCCTGCCAGCAGCGGGCCTTCGACACTTCACGCGACGGCCTCGAGGTGCACCTGGCCTGGCACAGGCGCCGTGGTGACGTCACCGCCACTTAGTGGCGAATGGCCGGGTGGTGTTGTTGTGTGTTTGGGGGACCGGTGGTGCAGCGGTTAGCGCGGCTGTGCTTCGAACCCGGCGAGCCGAGTTCGACACGGACACGGCCGCCAACACCAGTGAGGATTATCTGAACCGGTCCCGGGCCTCCCTTAGGTTCACTCAGCCTCAAATGAGTACCTGGTGCGGCGGTGTGTAATCATCGCCACTCGGGAGACAAAGGCGGCCGGGTGTGGTGTTGGCCACCCACCCCTCGTGTGCCGTGTCGGCCTTCATAGGTGCTCGCTAACAGGACATGCCCCACCAATCTGTTAAGGCTACACGGGGGATCTTTGTCCTTGTGTGGGTGTGGTGATGGCCACCCATCATTTCATGTGCCATGCCGGCATTTGTAGGTACTCGCTCACAGCGCTTGCTAAACGGAGATCTTTGCCGCTGTGTGTGCGCGTGTATGCGCGTGTGCGCGCGTGTGTGCGTCTGCATGTGCGTGTGTGTGTGTATATGTGTGCGTTGCGTGCGTGTGTGCACATTTGCGTGTGTGCGCGTTGCGCAACGCGGGGTTTCAGACGAGAGCATCCCAGAGGACGACACGCGCGCGAGCGGCGTGGCCCAGGGGCGGCCCTGGCGGAGGGGACGGCACGTGGAGGCGCAGGAGCAACGCTCGGCCGCCGCGCAGAAGCCTCCCCCCTACGCGGAGGACAGGTCGATTGTACTTCAATCCTGTCCGCTTACTGGCCGCTATAATGGTCAGGGGCACCTGGACTTGCGATCCAGAGGTCGCCGGTTCGATCTCCCGGCCACGGCAGTTGTAACGTTGGCAAGTTTTATTTTTAAGTCCCCCTCTCCTGCTGCTCCTCCCCACCCCCCGTGGCCTTTGACGCCGCAGTCGATCGGCAGGTCGCGTACGGCGGGGTAAATTGTGGGTACTTCCACCTCATCCACGGTGACGAGGACCAAGCGCCCCCTATAGGGGGGCTCGGGAGCGCTCGCGGGGGGGGGGGGGTGGCGGCGCTTCGCTGGCGGTGACGGTGGCGGTGCTGATAGTGGCAGTGACGGTGGTGCTGGTGGTGAATGTGGTGGTGGTGGTGGAGGTTGTGGTTGTGGAGGTTGTGGTGGTGATAGTCGAGGTGGGGGGTGGTGAATGTGGTGCTGGTGGTGGTAGTGACGGTGGGGATGGTGAATGTGGTGGTGGTGGTGACGGTGGGGATGGTGAATGTGGTGGTGGTGACGGTGGCGGTAGTGGTGGGGATTGTGAATGTCGTGATGGTAGCAGTGGGGGTGGTGAATGTGGTGGTGGTGGTGGTGGTGGCAGCAGTGGGGGTGGTGAATGTGGTGGTGAATGTGGTGGTGAATGTGGTGGTGGCAGCAGTGGTGGTGGTGAATGTGGTGCTGGTGGTGGTGGTGATGGCAGCAGTGGGGGTGGTGAATGTGGTGGTGAATGTGGTGGTGGCAGCAGTGGGGGTGGTGGTGGTGATGGCAGCAGTGGGGGTGGTGAATGTGGTGGTGAATGTGGTGGTGGCAGCAGTGGTGGTGGTGAATGTGGTGATGGTAGCAGTGGGGGTGGTGAATGTGGTGGTGGTGGTGATGGTGCTGGTGGTGGTGGTGATGGTAGCAGTGGTGGTGGTGAATGTGGTGGTGGCAGCAGTGGTGGTGGTGAATGTGGTGGTGAATGTGGTGGTGGCAGCAGTGGTGGTGGTGAATGTGGTGATGGTAGCAGTGGGGGTGGTGAATGTGGTGGTGGCAGCAGTGGTGGTGGTGAATGCTGCGGTGAAGCTGCCCCTGCTGGTGTCGTGCTCAGGCCGATCCGTCCGGGAGTGGTGGGGAGGAGAACGACGTTTGAGGAGTTCGTGGAGGAGCAGCTCAAGTTGCAGGAGGCGCGCGGAGCAGCTCACAAGGCACGCACACACACGCACACGCACACACATTGTGCACGCATCAACAACAACAAACGCCATTAACCACTATGTGGCGGTGACGTCACCACGACGCTTGTGCCAGGCCATGTGCACCTTGAGGCCACGTGAAGTGTCGAACGCCCGCTGGCAGGAGGTTACGGGGCAGACCCAGCAGGTGCCACGGGTCGACTGACTGAGATGACTGGCCGATGCACCACCTAGCCGATACACGCATCGTGCACACACACACCGTACACGCACACACACACATCGTACACACATACCCACAAAAGATCAAAGATCCCCCATATAGCCTTAACAGACTGTAGGGGCAAGTACTGTTAGCGAGCACCTATGAAGGCCGGAACGGCACACGAGGGGGTGGGTGGCCAGCACCACGCCCGACCGCCTTTGTCTCCCTAGTGGAAATGTTTACACACCGCACCAGGTACTCATTTGAGGCTGAGTCGACCTAGGGGAGGCCCGGGACCGCTTCAGATAATCGTCAGTGGTGTTGACCGTGAGCGGGAATCGAACCCGGGTCGCCAGGTTCATAGCGCAGCGCGCTAACCGCTACACTATCGCTCCCCACAACACACATACACACACATACACATCGTGCACACACACATACACATCGTACACACACGCATCGCACATGGACACACACACACATCGTGCACGCGCACATCGTGCACGCATCGCGCAACCACACACAAAGATCCCCCGTATACCCTGAACAGACTGCCGTGCCGTTTGCGAGAAGATGTGATAGCCAGAAAGCCACACGAGGGGATGGGGTGGCCAGAAACGCATCCAGCCACCTTTGTCTCCCCAATGCTGATTGTTTACGCACACCGCAGCGGGTACTCATTTATGGCTGAGTCAACCTAGGGCAGGCCCAGCACCGGTTCAGGTCTTCGTCGCCCGTGTTGCCTGCGAGCGGGAATCGAACTCGCGTTTGCAGGTTCGTAGCGCAGCGCGCTAATCACTCCACTGCCGCTTCCCATGTATTCGTGCACACGGACACAGTCAGTGAGTGTGTGCGGCACCCGTGTGTGTGTGTTCGTGTGTGTGTGTTCGTGTGTGCGTGCGTGTGTGTGCGGGGAGCGGTGTTGTCGCAGTTAGCACGCTGCGCGATGAACCCAGCGACCCGAGTTCGATTCCCTCTTATTTGAAACGGTCCTCGGCCTCCCCTAGGTCGACTCAGCCTCAAATGAGTACCTGGTGCGGTGTGTAGTGAACATCGCCACTCGGGAGACAAAGGCGGCCGGGCGTGGTGCTGGCCACCCACCCCCTCGTGTGCCGTTCCGGCCTTCATAGGTGCTACTCGCTAACAGCACTTGCCCCTACAGTCTGCTGAGGCAATAAGGGGGATCTTTGTCTTTTTGTGTGTATGCATGCCAGAGGGAGTGGAGTGGTCACATGGTCACGCGGTTGTGTGACCATGTGACAGTGCCGAGTCGTGACCCTCAGCACAACGCTGCTGTCATCTCCTCTCCTCTCCCTCGTCCCCTCTCCTCATCCCCTCCTCTCTGGAATCTCTCCCCCCCCCCCCCCCAAAACATCTCCAATCTCATACCCGCATCCCCTTCCATCCTCCCTCGTCCTCATCCCCTCGTCCCTCCGTCCCCTCCTGCCCTCGTGCCCTGGCACCCCCCCGCCCCGCCCCTCCCGTCGCCACAGGCCCACTCAGTCGACGCGCCGGTCCACACCACCAAGTCGTTTCTGAAGAAAGGAGAGGGGACCCAGCGATTCGCCCGCGCCCGCCACGGCACCACCACCGCCGCCGACGCCTTCTCCTTCCCGGGGCCCGGTCCCTCGAGACGGTGCCCGCGGGCCCCGCGGCTATCGCCGGCCGGAGCGGGGACGGCGCCGGCGGCGAGGACGCAGGGCCGCCGAGCCCTGCCGGAGGTGCAGGGCGTGAGCCGCGTGGGGCAGAAGCTCCGGCTGCTGAGCCAGCGTTCCGGCGGCGCCGGGGCCATCCCGCGGTTGCCGAGCGGCGCCGGCGTCGATGCCGGCGGGGCGGCGCCGGCGGCGGCGTCCGCCGGCCCGGCCCCGGCGGACGCGAGCGCCGATAGAGCCGGGGCCTCCCGGTCGACGGCGTTGGAGCGATTTCCGGCGCTGTCCACCGGCAGCGGCGCCGGCGGGGACGGCAGCGTGCCGCGGCTGGTGAGCCGCTTTGAGTCGATGCGGGAGGACGGCGCTCCGCCCGTGAGCGACGACCGTGGTCCCGACGACACGTCCAAGCGTCCGGCACGTAGAGACGTCAACGGGAACTTAGACCAGGGCGGCTCCTCCGGCAGCGGGAATGGCGCCGGCGACCCGGCTGCCGGCGCGAGTTCGGACGTCGCGGCGGCGGAATCCGTACGGCAAGGTGGCGGTGACGAAGGCACCGACGATGATGATGACGTTGATGACGACGGTGAGGTGGAGGAGGAGGAGGAGGAGGAGAAGCAGGAGGAGAAGGAGGAGCATGAGCACAGCGACTGCAGCCAAAAGACGTACCGCGTGGGAGCGTCCGTCGCGTACAAGCGTCTCAACGACAGGATCGTCCACGTGCCCGTCGTGCCGGGAGACGGCAGCGCCCGCCGCAACGCCGCTGCCGCCGCCGCAGCGACTTCTGGCGACGACGCCGTCGCCGCACCCCAGGAGGTGCGGGCGGTCCCGGGGTGGGCGCGGTTTCGGGCGCGGCCGCCGACGCTCGCGAGGGCATGGGGCGCCGGCAGGAGCCGCGACGAGGAGGACGACGGCGACCAGGACTACGCGAGCGACGCCCCCAGCGAGGCCGATGCCGGGGCGGCCGCCCCTCCCGCCGAGCGGCGCCGGGCCAAGCGGCCGACGGCGAAACCCGGCAGGGCGAGGCAGCGGCGGCCGACGGCTGGGAAGCAGGACGGCGGGGGCGACGGCGGCGGCGGCGGCGAAGCGGAGAGCTCGCGACCGTCGCCGGCTCCCGCGCGGGACGGCACGGAGCCGGCGGGCGGTACCGGAGGACCCCGGCGAGCGGGAGACGCCGGGAGGGGTCCCCCGGCAGAGGGTGGGGATCCCCGTGGCCCCCCCCACGGGGATCCCAGGATCGGCCGCCCTGCTGCGACAAACCCAGCGGTCGCGAATCGGACGTCGGGCGGCGACGGTCAGTCCACGTGTCGCTTGACGGGTTGTCGTGTTAGACCAGGGGTGGGGAAACTTTTTTCTGCCAAGGGCCATTTGGATGTCTGTAACATCATTCGCGGGCCATACAGAATTATCAACTTAAAAATTAGCCCGTTATATTTGGTAAAAACATTTAATTAACTCACCCCTAATGCGATGGCTGGAATTTGCTTCTCTTTGGCGAGGCGTGTGGTGATGTTAGCTGGCTATTGATGATGTTGCTACTCTCAACTGCTTTTCCAGCTTTGCTCCTAGATTTATTGAATTTCGAGTCCCCCCTGCGGTTGCCTTTGCAGGGCAAGAGACCAAATGGTTTTGCGGGCCTCATACGGCCCGCGGGCCGTAAGTTCCCCACCCCTGCGTTAGAGTGTAGTTACAGCCCCCCGTGAGCTCGCCCCGCCCGCTCACTCACCCGCTCGCTCACCCACTCACTCATCTGTCCATACACCGAATCGTTTTCTCACTCACTCGCTCATTTGCTCATTCGCCAATCCATTCATATACTAACTCACACGTTGACTTATTATACACTCGTGCACTCAACCACTCATTCATCCATCCACACACTCCTTTGCCAACTTACTCACTTATCCTCTCTCCCACTCATTTCCTCACTCATTCACTCGTTTACTCATTCGCTCACGTACTCATACACTCACTCACCCGCTCGCGCATTCATGAATACATCCATCCATATACTCACTCACTTATCTATCCATGCACTCATTCAACCCGTCACTCGTTCATTCATCCATCCACACACTCACTTATCAACTCACCAACTCACACACTCGCCCTTTCACGTCCTATCCACATACTAACATGCTCATGCAAACACGCAACTGCTCACTCATTCAATAATTTGTCCATACATTCACCCACTCACCTGTTCGCCAACACATATATGGACTCGCATGCTCACTCAAGAACGAACTCGCACATTCACTCCACCTCTGACAAGTTCACTCACCCACCACTTAGTCAATAACCCACTCATGCACACATTCACTAATTTACTCACTGACGCATTCAACCACAAATACACTTAATCAGTCACGCACTGAAGAACTCATTCGCTCATCCATTTATTTTCTCACTCACGTTAACTTATTATACACTCATGCACACACTCAATAAATCAACCACTCATTCATCCATCCATCCATACACTCATTTGCCAACTTACTCACTTATCATCACTCTCACCCACTCTTTTATTCACTCGCTCGCTCGCTCATTCACTCGTTTAGTCATTCAATCATTTATCCATACTCACCCACTCACTGGTTCGCTTACCCATATACTAACTCGCATGCTCACTCAAGAACTAACACACACATTCACTCAACCTCTTACGAGTTCACTCGCTCACCCAACCACTCACTCACCCACTCATGCACTCACTCACTCAATCACTCACTCACTCATTAACTCGCAGCATTCGCACACCCATACATTGACTGACCCACCCTCTACTGACTCGTGCGTTGTATATTATCCTTCCAGCGACATGGTCACACACTTAAAACAACTGTCAGTCACTCACTAGGCTCGCTCATGCACTCACCCACACGCACTCTCGCCCACCCATTCACCCAGCTCACTCACTCATTCACTCGCCGACTCTCTCATGTAATTCACTGACCCTCCCCATTCTGCGTGTGGTGTCATCATTGAGATTGTGCGCGAGTGAGAACCATGTAATTGTGTGTTCGGTTGGGGGGGGAGCGGTGGCGTAGCGGTCGGCGCACTACACTACGAACCGAGTTAAAATCCTGGCCACGGATAACATCAGTCGGAACCAGTCCTGTGCCTCGCCTAGGTTGACTTAGCCATCATGAATATCTGGTGCGCTGTATAAACATCAGCAGAGGGGAGACAAAGGGCGTAGTGCTGGCCACCCACCCCCTTCGTGCGCCGTGCCAGGTAACAGCACTTGCCCCGGAGGTTATACGGGGGACCTTAGTCTTTGTCGATGTGAAGTGCACCGAGCCTGGCACAAGCGCCGTGGCGCCTCCGCGCGTGTGCGTGCGCGTGGTGCCACTCGGGTGAAAAATGCGCGTGGTGCTGACCATCCACCCGCTCGTGTGCCGTTTCGGCTTTCATAGGTGCCGCTCGCTAAGAGCGCTTGGCCCAGCTGCCTGTTGATGCTACACGGGGGACCTTTGTCATTGTTTAACGTGCGTGTGTGTCTCTGTGTTCTCGCGGGCGCAGATGCAAGTGCAGGGAACTCGAAGTCTCATTCCAGCGGAGAAAGTGTCAAGTCGAGGGTCGGGTAACGTGCTCAGCCGCCCGCCGGCACACTCACTTATTTACTCACCTACTCACTCACCTATTCACTCACTCACCTATTCACTCACTCACATATGCACTCACTCACCTATTCACTCGCTCACCTATTCACACACTCAACCGACACACCTACTCACTCACATATTCACTCACTTACCTATTCACACACTCACCTATTCACACACTCAACCTACGCACCTACTCACTTACATATTCACTCACTCACCTATTCACTCACTCACCTATTCACACACTCAGCCGAAACACCTACTCACTCATCGATTCACTCACCTACTCACTCACTCATCCACTTACTCACCGACTGACTCACTTACATACTCACTCACATACTCACATATTGTCATACAACCCACAATGCACCGCACGAGGAGACAGCTGCCTGCCGAGTAGCGAGTGCAGTGCACGATGTTGTCCCACGTCTGACTGCATAGCCATGGTGGCTAGGAGATGTTAACTCCCTCGCCTGGTATGCAGGAAGTCGTCGGTTCGATCTCAACCCTGAGATGTTTATTTGAAATTTGCTCGTTTCTCTCCCTGTGGTCACGTGGCTTTTTTCTCCAGGTGCTCCCGTGTTTTCCTCCACACATGTGGATTTAGAATCAAAATGCGTTTAGAGTATTTGGCTGCTATAAATGTCCGCATGATGATAAGCCACTTCGTTGAGCTATCGTATGTGGCCAGGTCGCTTCTGATAAAGAGCCATTTAGCTCAGTGGGCCTTACCTGGTAAAATAACAAAACAATTGTTTAATCAACAAACAAAAAAATGTTTAGTTTATAGCCGCGTATGAGTGAATTAAAACCGCATGAAGCCAACTTTTGGGTCGATATCGCCAGACTGAGCTGGCGTAGAGCGAGGGAGACGTGTGTACGACGCAGCGATCTGCGAGATTGGATCGCGTCGTGGAATATCGGGAGCTTTCCGGACACCCCTGGTCACCGTTAGTTCTCTCGTGCGCGGGACAAAAAACAAAGATCCCCCGTGTAGCTTTAACAGACTGTAGGGGCAAGTGCTGTTAGCAAGCAGCACCTATGAAGGCCGGAACGGTACACGAGGGGGGTGGGTGGCCAGCACCACGCCCGACCGCCTTTTTCTCACCAGTGGCGATGTTTACTACACACCGCACCAGCTACTCATTTGAGGCTGAGTCGACCTAGGGGAGGCCCGTGACCCCTCACTCTACGTGTGTCTCGTCGTAGTCGTCGTCGTCGTCATCGTCGTTGTCGTCATCGCGGTCTCAAGGTCATACCTCCCACCTCCGACATGGCACGCAAAAAAAATCTGAAATTTCAATGAGGCTCTCTGTCTCTTACAAAAGATCGCCACCGGTCCAGTGTGTGGGGGGGGGGGGGGGGCTGAGTTACGGGCAAATGTCCGTCCAGTGGGCCAGATCGTGTGACTCGCACGCAAAAGGGGCGCCTCTGTGTCTATGCACGAGCGTTGCAATGTACCCGTCACACGATAGCCTCCAACTGCACCTAGCCTGGTGTGAGCGCTCTGGTGATGTCACCCAGCCGCTGCTTAGTGATGAATAGTGGCTGTTCTCGTTGTTGTGTGACTGTGACTGTGTGTGAGTGGCTGCGTGGGGAGCGGTAGTGTAGCGGTTAACGCGCTACGCTAAGAACTCGGTGACCCGAGTTCGATTCCAGTTCACGGCCAACACCAGTGACGATTATCTGAAGCGGTCCTGGGCATTCCCTGGGTCGACTCAACCTCAGATGAGTTCCTGGTGTGCTGTGTAAACTTCGCCACGAGGGAGACAAAGGCGGCGGCCGGAGGTGCTGTTGGCCACCCACCCCCTCGTGTGCCGTGCCCCAACAGTCTGTTCAGGCTATACTGGGGTTACTTTTCTCTTTAGAGCGGTAGTGGAGCGGTCAGCGCGCTGCGTTCGATTCCCGCACACGCTGAACGCCAGCGACGATGATTTGGACTGGATGTGGGCCCCACCTACGTCAACTCAACCTTAATTGAGTATCTGTGGTGCGCAACTCAACATCGTCACCGGGGAGACAAAGGCGCGCGTGCCCCTACTCGCCAACGGCGCTTGCCGCCCCGAAACAGATTGTTGAAGGCTACTCGGAAATCTTCTCGTCTCCGTGTGGGTGTCACAATTCCGTTGCCCGAACACCGCTTGGCTCAATCCCGAAGATGCATTCCTCGACCCCAAGGCCGTAATTATAATATACACATCCCCCCCCCCCCGCAACCCAATATTCAAATATGCTCAAAATGTCCCCCCCCCTTCCCAATATATTGCTATTAAATAGATTTATGTTTATATGATTGTGGTTATGGTTGTTACTTTATTAATCCCTAATCTCTGCCATTGCATACAATGTAACAAGAAAAGGTGAAGAAACAGAGCAAAGTAAATACAATACCACTATTAGACATTATTGTAAAAAAAAAGTCAATCCCATGTGTCAGTGAATGTTTTAATATTTTAGGCAGGAAATTCAATTTCAAATGTTGACTCCACGTCTACGGCCTTGCTCGTGAATTGTCAACGAGCAGCACGTGGCGTGGTTCCCCTTCGACCCCGAGGAGGTGACGGGCGGAGGGTCGCGTCTGCTCAACGCGAGCGGCTTTCCCGAATGGGTTTCGTAGCAAAACGAGAGCGGTTGTAGCCATGGTAGTTTGCGGCAGCAACAGAAGAAGCAGCAGCAGCAGCACATTTTAATTTTTATTTCCCCCCCGCCCCCGACACTTTTTTGTCGTGGCCAGCGCATGCCGCTCCCATTCTAACCTCTGGCCACCCTCACCATGCCCCTCTCACCATGCCCCTCTCACCATGCCCCTCTCACCATGCCATCCTCACCATGCCCCTCTCACCATGCCCCTCTCACCATGCCCCTCTCACCATGCCCCCCTCACCATGCCCCCCTCACCATGCCCCCCTCACCATGCCCCCCCTCACCATGCCCCTCTCACCATGCCCCTCTCACCATGCCCCTCTCACCATGCCCCTCTCACCATGCCCCCCTCACCATGCCCCTCTCACCATGCCCCCCTCACCATGCCCCCCTCACCATGCCCCTCTCACCATGCCCCTCTCACCATGCCACCCTCACTATGCCCCTCTCACCATGCCACCCTCACCATGCCCCCCTCACCATGCCCCTCTCACCATGCCACCCTCACCATGCCCCCCTCACCATGCCCCCCTCACCATGCCCCTCTCACCATGCCCCCCTCACCATGCCCCTCTCACCATGCCCCCCTCACCATGCCCCTCTCACCATGCCCCTCTCACCATGCCCCTCTCACCATGCCCCCCTCACCATGCCCCCCTCACCATGCCCCCCCTCACTCTGCCCACCACCAATCCCAAGAACGCAGCTCTCGTGGTTTTTTTGCGTCTCAGTCCCGACCGCGCAAGCCCAGACTTGCGCGGCAAGCCGCGCTCTTTTCTGCCGCCTCTGTTGTGTTTGTCCTCTCTAATCTGAGCTAACCAAAGCCAGCATCGGTGTTTCTAGGCAGCAGCCGCCCACTTGTTTGTGCGGGGTAGTAGGGCCAGGTGGCGTGAAGGGCCGTGGTGGTGGTGGGGGCGCAGGGGAGAGAGAGGGGAGGGGAAGGACGGCGGAGTCGCCAGCGTAGCCCGGCTCTCTGAGCCAAGACGCCGCGAGAGACTTCTTCTTCCTCTTCTTCCTCTTCTTCCTCCTCTTCTTCTTGTCGTCGTCTTCGTCGTCTTCGGGACGCGTCGCGCCGCTCTCACGCCCGGTACGGAGGCCACGGCCGCTGGCACCGCGGGGGGAGGGGGGGGGGCACTGTCTCGCTTGGCCGGCTCAAGTGTCCCGCTCGCGGTGGTGGTGGGGGGGGTGGGGGTGGGGGCGGTGGTGGAGGTGGTGGGGGCGGTGGAGGTGGTGGTGGTGGGGGCGGTGGTGGGGGCGGTGGTGGAGGTGGTGGATGTGGTGGGGGTGGTGGTGGTGGTGGGGGGGCGGTGGTGGGGGTGGTGGTGGTGGGGGGGCATCGCGATGCGTGCGACGCGGTCGTGGCGTAGCTGCTGCTTGCAGGGGAGCGAGGAGGGGCGGGGGAGGAGAGGCGGGGGGGGGGGAGTGCCGGGGGGGGGGAAGAGCTGGGTAGAGGGGCGGGGGAGGCGGGGGGTAGAGGGGCGGGGGAGAGGCGGGGGGGTCGCGTGAATAAAGGCAAACTGGAACCTTTGTGCCGGAGTACAAAACACGAAACCCAAAGGGGTCCCCCGTATCTGTACTCTTTAGCCCCTGTATCTGTACTCTTTGGCCCCTGTATCTGTACTCTTTGTCCCCCGTATCTGTACTCTTTGGCCCCTGTATCTGTACTCTTTAGCCCTCGTATCTGTACTCTTTGTCCCCCGTATCTGTCCTCTTTAGCCCCCGTATCTGTACTCTTTGGCCCCTGTATCTGTACTCTTTAGCCCTCGTATCTGTACTCTTTGTCCCCCGTATCTGTCCTCTTTAGCCCCCGTATCTGTACTCTTTGGCCCCTGTATCTGTACTTTTTGGGCCCTGTATCTGTACTCTTTGTCCCCCGTATCTGTCCTCTTTAGCCCCCGTATCTGTACTCTTTAGCCCCTGTATCTGTACTCTTTAGCCCCAGTATCTGTACTCTTTGTCCCCCGTATCTGTCCTCTTTAGCCCCCGTATCTGTACTCTTTGGCCCCTGTATCTGTACTCTTTGGGCCCCCGTATCTGTACTCTTTAGCCCCCCGTATTTGTACTCTTTGGCCCCCGTATCTGTACTTTTTAGCCCCCGTATCTGTACTCTTTAGCCCCCGTATCTGTACTCTTTAGCCCCCGTATCTGTACTCTTTGGGCCCCCGTATCTGTACTCTTTAGCCCCTGTATCTGCTCGAGAGCGAGCCGGTTGATGCCAAGCTGGACTCTCCGCCAAAGGCCGTGCGGTGCAATCCCTCAGATTATCCTTTTTTTAACTTTCGTGGAGTTGTTGCAACAACAAAAAAAACACAAATTTGAGGTCTCCGTCACCCTCCCATCTCCAACAACGGTCGCCACGGCGACGCAATGTGAAGCAGGCCCTCGAGGTAGAGAGTCACGTGGACGTGGAGCTGCCGCTGTTTTGTTGACTGTTACAGTTCTGGGGGGGGGGCGGATTTTAAGATTTTACAGCAGATATTAGCACTTTGGGGGGGGGGGGGCTGTCCATAAATGACGTCACGCACCTAGGTGGGTGGGGGGGGGGCGTGGTCAGACATTTGTGACGATGTGTGACGAGGGGGGGGGGGTTAGAGAAATGTGACGTCACATCAAAATGAGCAACTTTAAATAAATATAGACAACACGTTCTACTTAATTAAATAGACTTTTTAAGAAAATGTTTTCTCCTGCAATATCAAAGTGCCGCGCCACATTAAATACGCACTATGATGACAATAGTTTAAAGCGATTTGAAGCATGTTTTATTTTTTTTGGGGGGGGGGGCAGAGCTTTGTGACGTCATATTTGAGGGGGGGGGTCTGATTCTTTGTGACGCCGTGTGACGAGGGGGGGGTAAAAAATCGTCCAAAATCGCGTGACGTCATTTATGGACTGCCCCTTGGGGGAATCCGGCCTAATCAACTGCGCGCCCCCCCAATGGCCAATGGCATTGGCCAGTTGCCCAGGGCACCCCTAACGCATCCTTATATGTAACAAAATATCTGCGAGTCGAGCCGCACGTTTGAGTTTACTTTGTCGAGTCAAGCAGCGGCTCACCCCAAACCGGAACAAACCCAGCGGACCTTACGGCGTGCTGATGATACGTTTCGAAACTACGCACGACCTTTGAACCTCCAGTATAAACTCACATTACCCGTCTGAAATTCTCTCGTGCTGTCACACCGCCACTGGAGGGCAGCATCATTGTTGCCTGCTGAAATATCGAATGAGTCACTCATCGACTTACGAACGCTCGTACTTACGAACGCCCGCACTTACGAACACCCGACGCTTACGAACCAGCTTCTATGATTATTTTTTTTTAAACTACATTTCATTAATTGCGAACCCGCACTTGCCAACTGAACGGCGGAACGGAGAACGGGTCTCGGGAACTAATTATGTTCGTAAGTCGAGAACTGTCCTTTGAGAGTTCAGGGTACTTTTGCTTTATTGAGGGCCGATTAGGACTCCCTTGGTGGGCAACCACGCTTGAATGAACACGCTCGCCACAGCCACCCCTGCGACTGCAAGAGGCCCCTTGCAGTCACGGCGGTCACTCAATGCGCTATAACATGAGAACAGTGTTTTAGGGTTGGCGACTCTTAAGATGTTCCGGGAAGATTCGTTTTAAAATTATTATTAACTTATTTTCTTAAAATATTACTCCGTTATAATCTGCCGGATTGCTCTCCTAGTCAGGAGGAGATCGATGCTAATTCCGACCAATCCGGGAGGGTTAGCGACGCTGCAGTGTTGTTGCCGGCTCGATCATATTCCCCTCTAGTACACGATCAGCGTGGCTAAGATGCTTGCATCATCATCATCATCGTAGTCATCATCACGATCCATGGGCAGATAGCCCGTAGGTGTCCACTGCTACACTGCAAGATGCTTTCAGTTGAGGGGGGTGGGGTCAACGTCGTTTTGTGGGCCGATTCAGGGTGGTAGGCCAGACATCTGTGAAAAATAGCTTCATAGCTTGTCAGATTCCTCCAGCCGGAATATTCTGAGCGAATGCAACGAAGCCGGTTCCCGACGTCTGAATCAACACAAGTTGCACCAGCGGTGAGAGGGCAAGGTCTCGCGAGGCTTCAGGCCTCTCATGCCACGTGGGTTCATGTAATCTGTCGTCTATTAAAGGATTAACTTTTGTTGGATGGGCAGGTACCCAATCGCCTCACTTTAATTGCCAAACCAAATGACAATGAGTCCCCCATTCGGATGATTTCTGACCTGCATTTATTGTGACCATATGACGCGACACGCGCCCAGTTTGGTCACGTCTTCGACGCTACGCAGGGTCGCACGTAGATAGGCGACCACCGCCATGCATAACAGGTCTTATAGGCTCCTGCTCCTGTGGGGCTACGTGGTGGGCAGCCAACCGCTATGCTCCCAGACCTTTGGCTCTCTTCCTTTGCCAAACTCACTCTGATCAGCATGAAGGTTGGTAAAATAATCTTCCACGATCCGCACAAACTATTTATTTAAACTATTTTTTTTATTTTACACGGTAAGGCCCTTCTGAGCTACAGTGAGGGAAAAAAGTATTTGATTCCCTGCTGATTTTGTACGTTTGCCCACTGGCAAAGAAATGATCAGTCTATCATTTTAAGGGTAGGTTTAATTGAACAGTGAGAGACAGAATAACAAGAAAAAAATCCAGAAAAACGCATGTCAAAAATATTATAAATTGATTTGCATTTTAATGAGGGAAATAAGTATTTGACCCCTCTGCAAAACATGACTTAGTACTTGGTGGCAAAACCCTTGTTGGCAATCACAGAGGTCAGACGTTTCTTGTAGTTGGCCACCAGGTTTGTGCACATCTCAGGAGGGATTTTGTCCCACTCCTCTTTGCAGATCTTCTCCAAGTCATTAAGGTTTTGAGGCTGACGTTTGGCAACTCGAACCTGCAGCTCCCTCCACAGATTTTCTATGGGATTAAGGTCTGGAGACTGGCTAGGCCACTCCAGGACCTTAATGTGCTTCTTCTTGAGCCACTCCTTTGTTGCCTTGGCCGTGTGTTTTGGGTCATTGTCATGCTGGAATACCCATTCACGACCCATTTTCAATGCCCTGGCTGCGGTGAAGTTGTCCTGTCCCCTTAGCAGAAAAACACCCCCAAAACATAACGTTTCCACCTCCATGTTTGACGGTGGGGATGGTGTTCTTGGGGTCATAGGCAGCATTCGTCCTCCTCCAAATACGGCGAGTTGAGTTGATGCCAAAGAGTTCCATTTTGGTCTCATCTGACCACAACACTTTCACCCAGTTGTCTTCTGAATCATTCAGATGTTCATTGGCAAACTTGAGACAGGCATGTATATGTGCTTTCTTGAGCAGGGAGACCTTGCGGGCGCTGCAGGATTTCAGTCCTTCACGGCGTAGTGTGTTACCAATTGTTTTCTTGGTGACTATGGTCCCAGCTGCCTTGAGATCATTGACAAGATCCTCCCGTGTAGTTCTGGGCTGATTCCTCACCGTTCTCATGATCATTGCAACTTCACGAGGTGAGATCTTGCATGGAGCCCCAGGCCGAGGGAGATTAACATTTATTTTGTGTTTCTTCCATTTGCGAATAATCGCACCATCACCTTCTCACCAAGCTGCTTGGCAATGGTCTTGTAGCCCATTCCAGCCTTGTGTAGGTCTACAATCTTGTCCCTGACATCCTTGGAGAGCTCTTTGGTCTTGGCCATGGTGGAGAGTTTGGAATCTGATTGATTGATTGATTGCTTCTGTGGACAGGTGTCTTTTATACAGGTAACAAGCTGATTTTAGGAGCAGAGTGTGCTCCTAATCTCAGCTCGTTACCTCTATAAAAGACACCTGGGAGCCAGAAATCTTTCTGATTGAGAGGGGGTCAAATGCTTATTTCCCTCATTAAAATGCAAATCAATTTAAAACGTTTTTGACATGCGTTTTTCTTGATTTTTCTGTTGTTATTCTCTCTCTCACTGTTCAAATAAATCTACCATTAAAATTATAGACTGATCATTTCTTTGTCAGTGGGCAAACGTACAAAATCAGCAGGGGACCAAATACTTTTTTCCCTCACTGTATGTAGCTTTTTACGGAAGAGAAACTGGCCAGAAATGATTCCTCACCGAAGTGGCTTATGGTAGCCAAATAACTCTAAACGCGTGGTGACGTTGATTTTAAATGTGGAAGGACAACCGGAGTACACGGAGAAAAATCCACGTGATCATGGGGAGAGAGAGAGAGACACGCAAACTCCAAATATACAGCAGGCGTCAAGGTCGGGATTGAACCAACGACCTCCTGTACACCAGGCGAGGTAGTTAACATCTCGCCACCTCACAGGGTGGGGGAGCCCTCTCATCCAGCAGTGGATGGAACAAGAGCTGAGGAGGCGTGAAAGTTACGCGGCGATTATGGTGTCGACGGTGGTTGGAGAGCGGGCCCTCTCAGTCCTCGGGTCGCGAGTTCACGTCCCTGCGTTCCGCGTGCCCTGCCCGCGTGTCACGTCCCGTGCACCTGTTTCATCCACCAGTCTTTAACGTCTCGCGTCCCATATCCGCCGTTTCACTGCATCCTGCGTCCCACGTTCCGTGCCCTGTATGCCATGTTCAGGGTCCCGCATTTCGTGTCTTGTCCTCCCACGTCGCCATCACACGTCCCATGTTCCGTGACTCATGTTCCGTGTCGCGTGCTCTTTACTCCTCTTGTCGTGTCCCGTGACCCACGTCCCATGTGTCCGGTGTGCCGCGAGAAGGCAGGAGGGAGCTTACAGACTTCTGGACAGGAGGGGCCTCAAGCTTCCGGCCTCCGCCCTGGACGGGGCGGGGAGCAGCCACGGGGGGCCCGGAGCCCCCGGTGGCCCCGCGGGCCAGGAGGAGCAGCGCTCGGCCGAGTGGGAGGAGATTCAGGTGAAGCAACGCGTGGGCCCGGGGATATAGGCTGTACGCGGAAGTCGCCGTGGATCAACACAATGGGCCCCACAGCTGTCCAAGTCAACTGCTGCTGCTGCTGCTGCTGCGGACATGGAGGCAGTTGCGAGTTGATCCTGTGGTGCAGCGTGTCTGCGTTTGTTTACTATAATTCATTTTCAGAATGTATTATTTCTCAGAGGTGGCCGGGTGCAGTGGCCGATCTCTGGTAAATAGATGGTGACGCTGGGCAGGAAGGGCCCCAATGAGCTTTTGCCTTTATTTCACGGGCATCCTGCGAGGGTACCGATGGAGTTCATGTTGATGATGATCACGTTAATGAGCATGTTTATGATTGTGATGCCGACGATAACAATTAACACCTGAATGATGTATTTAGGTGTTAATTGTGGCACTCGTGGATAATGCGATAACGATGATAATTACGTTTTAAGTTGATGATTGGTGACAATAATGCTAACGATGAGGATTGTGGAAATTGTATCGATGACAGTGGTAATAATATTCTTGATGATAATCTTACTCTGGTGTTGACATTTTTAGAGGTTAAAACGTCAGCTGTGGGAGCTGCAACAGGCCGTGAAGCAGAAGGAGCGGCACTGGGAGGGTCCCAAGGCAGAGCTCCACCGTGGAGCCCAGGCACTGAGTCCACACCAAGAGGCAGCCCGACATGTGGACAAAACAACAGCTAGACCAGCCATGGAGCTCCATCGTGGAGCCCGGCCGTTTAGTCCACACCAAGAGACAGCCCGACATGTGGACAAAACAATAGCTGGACCAGGCATGGAGCTCCATCGTGGAGCCCGGCCGTTTAGCCCACGCCAAGAGACAGCCCGACATGTAGATGCGACAACATCAGAGCCAGGCGTGGAGCTCCACCGTGGAGTGCAGCCCTTCAGCCCACGCCTAGAGACAGCCCGGCATGTGGACAAGATGAGAGCTGGTCCAGGCACAGAGCTCCGCCAAGGAACTCTCCCGACTGCCGCCACGCACTCACGCCTCCTCTACAAGGAGGAGCCGAGCGACAGAGCGGCCGCGCTGGCGCCGCGCTGGCCCACCGCCCGCAGCAAGACCCCCACGCTGCCGAGGCCGCCCGTCCCCACCGACGGCCCCGACGTCGACGCCGCCCCGCGCGGCGGCCGGGCCGCCGACTGGCGGAGCCCCGTACCGGCGAGCGTCGACCGGTGGGGCGAGCAGCTACCCCCGACGAGGGGAAACGCCTTCGCCGGCGGCCCCCGTTCGCTGGCGGAGTCGGCGCACGCCGCCGAGCCTCCCCCGGGCGCCGAGTCGCGGCCCAAGACGCCGGTGCGGGCGACGCGGAGCCAAGACCTCTTCTACCGCGATGCCGACCCCGGCTTCGAACCCGGCCCTTTCTCGGGGCGCGGGCACCGCTCCAAGACGCCTAACCCCTCGGCCGGCGGCGGGCGGCGCGCCACGGATGCCGTTCCCCGCTCCAAGACGCCCAACCCCGAGACGCCGTCCACGCGCCTTCACGGGGAGGCGGCCGCCCCGAGCCGCCGCAATGGCCTCGGTGGGGGGCCCTCGCGCGCCAGTGGAGCGCAGCGGCCCGGCGGCGCGCCGGCCCCCAACCGGGCCTCGCCGGCGCCGGAGCGGCACCGCCCGGCGGCCGGCCCCCCCGGGGACCCGGAGCTCGCGTGGCGGCGCTCGGGGGCCGTCCCGTCGCCCACCGCCGTGACGTTCGCGCCGGACCGGGCGCGCCGATCCAAGACCCCGAACCCCGGCGGCGAGGCCCGGGCGGCCGCCGGGGCCGGAGCGCGTGGATCCTCGCCGGGCCCGCGCGTGGCCGCGCCTCGCACCCCCGTGCCCGCCGCTCCCACGGGGACGACCGTGGCCGCCGGGGCTCAGCGAGCGCGGACGCCACTGGAGCTGATGGCCAGCGTGAGTGGGGGGCCGCGAGGTGTGGTGAGAGTGTTGTGTTTGCCACGGCAATATGCAAGACTATCCGGCATTGCCTTGTTTTGTGCGTGTGTAAGTGTGCGGCCTAACATTGGTGCTTGCTAACAGCACTTGTCCCAACAGCCTGTTAAAGGCTATACCGCGAGATCTTTGTCTCTGTCACTAAAAGTCTACAAGGCGGGGCGAAATCTTCCTTGTTTAGGGCCGAAAATAATTTTTCAGACGACACATTTTGACGAACAACCACAAGTTTACAAACAAGGGCTCACATTTACCACAGCGGCAGACGTGACCGACAATCAGAATCGGCGTTGTTGCCAGCTCGAAAATATTCCCACCCCCCCACCCCCCACCCCCCCCACTTCGGGTAGTCGATAAGTGCGCCGTGCCAGCCTTCGTTGGTGCTCGCAAACGTCACTTGACCCAGCGGTCCGTGGAAAGTCTTCGCTTTGTCCTTTGCCCCTTTTTTTGTGACGCAGCCTCCCCACCGTCTGGAATCGGCGCATTTGGGAGCAGTTGGTTTCCACGACGACCGAGAGGCCGACGACGATGTCCAGCAAGAGATCCTGTATCCGGACGGGAAGGTGCGTGGCCAACGCGCGTGCACGCGCGTGTGTACGTAAGCGTCGCGCGCGTACACACGCGCGTTCAGTCGGCCGGCTTCCGCACGTCGAGTAAGGTCCACGAAATACCTTGAGCGGGTAAACCGCGTACTCTATATAACAACGGTTATATTGTGGCGGTGGGGGGGGGGGGGGGGGTGGGGAGGGGTGGGGAGGGGAGGGGTGGTGGGCGGGGTGTTCCATACAAATTTAAGGAAAAAAACCACGGATATTAAAATCGCACTCCCAAAGCTCCGATACAGAACAGCGTGCAGAGCCACGCCGACTTGCAGGCAGCTGCACGTCCACGTGGCGCACGCCGGTATTTAGTCCTGTGCCCAACGGTAATTCCTGCGGCGTTCAGTTCATATTATAAAATGCAGGTTAAAGATTTATTTACAATCAAAACATTCCAAAAAATATATGTTTTTTTTTATGGAAATGTATTATTACAGTATGTAAAATATTTTTCAATTGAGCTGCGCCTTCTCTTAGAAACGTAACGCCACGCCGCAGCGGTGCAATGGTTGAGAGGTCGGCAACGCCGCACGTGGAATCGCAGGGGTCGCCGGTTCCATTCAATGTCCCGCCGTGGCAGTTGAAACAAACGGCGCAAGTTTCGTCATTCTTAAATCCACACCGCTCCCTCCCTCTTGCCTTTGTTCCGACAAGCGGCGTAACGTCGCTCCGCCAACGATGAGTCCACTGGCAGGTCGCACGCGGTGGGCTGAAGTGTGGGTTACTGCCACCCTTTTTGAGACGTTTGACCCGGTGTGTGCACACTCCAGAGTGGCGAACACACCCCAAGCAGCAGTGGATAGAGCAAGTAACAGCTGGGCAACAACAACAACAACAACCGCCATTCGCCACTAAGTGGCAGCGACGTCACCACGGCGCTTGTGCCAGGCTATGTGCACGTTAAGGCCGCCACGTGAAGCGTCGGAAAGCCCGCCGGCAGGAGGTCACGGGACAGACCGAGCAGGTGCCATGGGTTGACTGACTGAGACGACTGGCCGATGCACCAACTGTGCCACCTACTGTTCCAACGAGGTGGCTGGGCTGCACACACACAGATAAGCAGCATAAAAGCTGTGATGGCCCAGTGCGCCAGGGGAATCACTTTGTAACAAATCAGAATCTTTATTTCGCACTGGGGGAGAAATCCGATGCGCTATGATGCTCTCTTATCGCAGACGTCCCAGTCGGGGGGCGAGTCCGCCAGTTACGTCAACTCACGCGGAATGTGCCCAGCCTCGTCAGATCTCAAGAAGCTAAGCAGTGTTTTTCGGGGCCTGGATAAGTGCTCGGATTGGGTGACCACCATGCACAGCAGGTTGTTACAGGCTGCTGTGGGGCGACGTCGTCAGCGCAGATGGCATGGCAGGAAAAGCTCATTGTTTCTCTGTACTGTAGCTCACATTCTTGGTTCTTTCGGTAAAAAAAAAAATGCAGAAAATAAAAAAATGAATAATAAAATTGAAAGAAAATTTCAATGCTTTAATTGTTTTTAATTTATTATTTTTACATTTTAACTTTTACTTTATTATTTTCTATTATTTTTATTTAATATCTACGTGACTTCACCGAAAGAACCAAGAATATTAATTGCTGCAGTCGCGAAAGTTTTAAGTCAAAATGTACCGTAGCTCTTTTCTCTCCCACGCATTATTAACCAGCCTGCACCGACTTACGTGATGAACTATGGTTAAATAACCCCGCGGAGTGGTGGAGAGGCGTTCATCCAGCGGTGGATTAACAAAAAGTGCCTTACGTGCATACTACATGTACAACACGTAAAACAATAATAATGCAGATGTCACGGAAAAAAAACACTTGACAACCCACAAAAGCTCACTGTCCAGAAAGCCGGGGGTTTGTTGTGAGTGGGTGGATTTAGTGACTGAAGCAAATTAATTATTAAATGTAATGCCCGGCCATGCGTTGGAAACGTTATACCATCGTACAAAAGTATCAAGAGTGAGTTATTACGTGTAAAAGAAACCGGGTGGATAACCTCAACGTATGCACTGCACGTGCACATCATCCAGTACGAGTGGGCAGCCCGTCCTGCAGACGGGGTCACATGACACACTCACCTGACCCCCGTCACACAACCCCCGCTTCACCCGACGGCACTCGCCAGTCGGCTCAGACCTGACCCTCACCGCTCCCCGAGTTCGGACAACAGAGTGGGCAGGTCGGCCCTCACCCGCTCCCAAACCTCACCCCAGCAAGGGCACTCGCCTATCCATTGTATAATTTTGTAACGGGTCTCAACATCACGCGACGTTCTGTTACAAATGTTAGAGTTGATGGGAGTGGATGCTCCGGGAACCAAATTGAAGGTTCTCGCTGTCTCCGATCACTTCGGCGCTTCGCTTCAGCTGGAACTCGCTCCCCACCAGTCGTCCGCTCTCTCGCATCGCCTCACCGCGCCCCCTCCACCTCGTTTACTGTCAGCCGCACCTTCGATCGCCATCGGTGTCCGGCCGCCAGCGATTGTTCCACGTGGCGCGTCGCTCGTGATAAAAACCCGTCTTCGCTCCGTCAACTCTTACTGAAACCTCTAAGGTCCTGGAATGTGCCGGCAATCTGACCACTTTTCCTAAAAGCTCTCTTGCCACATGAAGTGCTTGAAGGACGCTGGCATCTGAACCACTCTTCCTAAAAGCCATTGTACCAAATGATGTGCTTGAAATACACTGGCATCTGACCACTCTTCCTAAAATCTCTCTCTCTCTCTCTCCACATGAAGCTCCTGAAGGATAATGGCACGTGTTATATATATTTTTTCCCGTCCATGGAATTCTCAACAGCCGATGGTGGAACCACGATTCTGCTCACCTCCGCTCGTCTCCGGCTTGCAAAGTCCAGCCGTCGGCTCCGTAGAGAAGCGCAGGTCGAACGGTGCACTTTGTAAAAGTGCACGTTGTCACGACTCATTGCACGTTGCTCTTTGTGAACCTGCTCGTTGGGTATAGCTGCCATTTATTTTTGCATGGGTGCGTTTTGTAAAACGTGTAAGCTTTGGCGTGGTGGCCATGCTGCTTTGCAATCTGCACATATGAGAGAGAGAGATATATATATGAAGTGCACGTTGTGACTTCCTTGCATGTGGATGCACTTCGTAAATGTGCGTGCTGGCATGCGATCGCACGTGTGATTTTTTTGGTGGTTGCTGCTGTTGTTGGGTGCAAGTTTGTAAACGTGCGCACTCGGTCGGGGCTGTCGTGCATGCGATGGGGCTAACGACACGCCGACCGTCGTATTTTCCCCTGGGAGTTATTTGCATCACGTGACGCACGCACGCGCACATCGAACAACCGCGCGCGTCAAGATGATCGCTCCGTTTGCAACCCGCGCACGTTTGCAAGAACATTTTTTCGCGTAATTGTTTTAAGCCGTAATGCTACCGAAATCATAAAGATGGGGAGATTAAATTAAAAAAAAGAACGAGATGGGAGCTTTGAGACGATAGGCACGAGATGTAATAATTGTACCAAGAAATAAATCGGTTCTTCAATCGCACCGTGACACAAAATTCTGACGAGCCAAACCGTCTGGCTCGTGATACGCGACGCGCTTACCGGCCGTGCCTCTGTCACGGCATCTCTGTGTCCCCATATGTACTTGTGTGCCCATGTGTGTTCGCACGTGTGTGTGTGTGTGTGTCCGTACACCCCCGTGTGCCCCCTCCGTGCGTCCTACCGCGTGAACCCCCCCCACCACCGCGTGACCCCCCACCCCCCCCCGGCAGGTGGAAATGGTCCTGCGGAGCGGCCGGCGCATGGTGCAGTTCCGCAACGGAACCCGCAAGGAAGTGAGCGCGGACGGCCACACGGTGACGGTCGCGTTCCCCAACGGCGACGTCAAGAAAACCACCGACGACCAGCGCGTGGTGAGCGCTCCGTTGCCGAGAGGGGCGCCCGCCGGGAGGGGCGCCCGTCGGGGCGGGCTGCTTCCCATGGCAGTCAGCCCGCCACGGGAATGTGGAATTTTCCGCCGATGGCTCGTCCAAATCGGCCAGCTGATTGTACTGTGTGTGTGTGCGTGTGTTACTGCCATACGTAGTCAGCCGCGTGTGTATGGGATATGGTCCCTGTATATCTGGCTCGTAACTTTTTGGCCACTCCACCACCCCTCCTGTAATAATCAAAATCCGGCGAAATGTTGGAATTGTGGTCTGGGGTATGGAGACCGAACAGATTAATTTATTTTAATTTATTTTACCTGCGATAATTTTTTCTTGTTATGTGCATTTTTTTCTAGTTATTTATGTATTATGTATTTTTTATTTGCTAAGTAGTGGGGTTTTGTTTTTATATTCGCGTACGGATACTGGATCATTGATGTGCAGCATTGTGGGATGAAATTGCATGAATGACGCGATATAAAATTACATTAAATTTCGATTTAAAGCTTTCGTGACTGCAATGATTCATCTTCTTTGGTTCTTTCGGTAAAGTCACGTAGAATGAGAATAAAATAATAAATTGATATTTTATCAATTTAAAATAATAAATTGATATTTTATCAATTTATTATTTTATTCTCATTCTACGTGACTTTACCGAAAGAACCAAAGAAGATAAAATTACATTACTATATAATTAATGTACAGCCTTGTGATATGCTGTTGGCACGAATGACGCTGCTTTCTAAGATGAAAGTGTTATTACAGTAACATGGCGAGTATTTTGGGTTTGTATTGCACGCTGCTGCCAATACCAGTGCCGGAGTTTTGTGTTTAATCGCGGATTCATTCTTGCATCTGTCCCTGCGCCTCTCATCGCTGCTTTGTCAGAGGCACGGTGGGCAAAAGAAGGTGGGATAGGAGAGCGAGTGACAGGAGATCAACAAGTCGAGAGAGAGGGTGTAGGCGCAGAAGGGGCACTGCTTGACAGGATGGAACAAGCTCGAGACTTGAGCGGTTTGGACACGAGAAGCAGATGGAGGAGACCTGTTCAACCAAGATGTTCAATGACGCTGGGGTGTGGAGGGCAGTCGACCGAGTGGCAGGAGACTGGAAAGTGATGGAGGCAGACAGGGATAGAAAAATAGGAAGGCGTGGAGCGATGTTTGGCTGCCACCTGATCCAGACGATGCCTGGAAATGCCCGGAAACGGACCCCGATGATGGTTGACGATGATAATTAATGTTTATGATTATTGATTGACGACGATGATGGCGGTGGCTTGGGACCGTGCGTGGCAGTGAACATCAATGCCCCGTTGTTTATTTGAGCCAAGTGACACCGCAGCTGTTGGTTACTTTACTGGCATGGCATCTATTGGATGTTGATGATGACGACATCGAGGCAGGTGCTGGATACGTTGGTGTTTGGATGTCTGCCCCCGTGTAGATGGGTAGGGCGTAATGGTCCAGTGCCGGATGAGGCCCGTGTCATGTGACTTTCACAACCTGCCTCTCAATCTCTCTCCGCCTCGCTCCCTTCCAGGTCTACTACTATGCGGAGTCGCGGGTAACGCACACAACGTACCCCGACGGCACTCAGCACGTGCGCTTCCCCAGCGGGCAGACAGGTAATGGCGGGCGTGGACACCACGGTAACGGGTGGGAGGGTGAGACCACGGTAACGCACTACCACGCTGCACTACCGCGTGTGTGTGCGGACTGCCGAGCGGCGGCGATGTGGTTAGCGAGCCGCGTTACGAACCCCCCCCTCGCCCACCACCCCCCCCCCCCCGGCGCGCTTGAGTTTGATTCCCGGTCACGCCGAGCATTTGTGGCCTAGCGTTAGGCCTCGCCTAGGTTGACTCAGCTTTCAATGAGCATCCGGTGCAGTGTTGACTACAGCTCTGGGGAGATAAAGAAGGCCGGGGATGGCTCCTGACCACACCGCTCCCTCATGCGCCGTGCCGGCCTGAATAGGTGCTCGCGAACAGAGCTTGCCCCTAACCGATCTGTGCAGGCTATACGTGGGGATCTTTGCTTATGTATGATTGTTGAACTTCTGTCGCACCGTACGTAGCCAACCGTGCTAATCAGAGGTGCAGGGGAAGGACAACAAACTAAACACAAAAAGCAGTTCAAAGAAATGCGTTTCAATCTAGATGATTTAAAAAGGGCATAGCTCCAGTAGCTCCCTAATATCTGAAGAGCGTTCCAGACGGCCGCAGAAGCGCATCCGAAAGGCCGCGATGCGGCGACCACCGTCTTTTTTCGAGGATGCCCGGAGTTTGTGTGAGGGTTTATGCTCCTTGAGGAGATCGGCACTCCCCGTGCCGTGCCGTGCCTGTGCACTGCCTTGACAGAGACCCAGCACGTGGACGGTCGCAAGGAGATCGTGTTCCCGGACGGGATGGAGCGACTCATCCACCGCGACGGGCGCGAGGAGAGCCGCTACTCCGACGGCACTCGCGTGCGCACCGCCAGGTACCGCCCCGAAACGTCACCCGCCCGGCACGACACCCAGCGAGCTTGAGACGTGCTTAGCGTGCTACTTTCCTGGTGTGTGACACACACCCAGCGTGACGCACACCTCGTGTTACATTCAGTGTGTTCACTTTCCTAGTGTGACACACACCTCGTGTTGCATTCAGTGTGTTCACTTTCCGAGTGTGACACACACCTCGTGTTGCATTCAGTGTGTTCACTTTCCGAGTGTGACACACACCTCGTGTTACATTCAGTGTGTTCACTTTCCAAGTGTGACACACATGTGGGGCACGAATGATTGTACGTGTTACAATCAATGTGTTAACTTTCCTAGCGTGCTACTGACTCTGTGTGATACGAACCCAGCGTGATATACACCTAGTGTGACACATACCCGGCCTGACACCTGAGGTCTGCCACTAACCCGGTGTACCACACGACGATGACAACGACGACGATGACTGCGACGACGACGACGCCGACGGCGGCGACGCAGGAACGGCGAGAAGGTGATCGAGTTCGCCAACGGGCAGCGGGAGGTGCACACGGCGCAGTTCAAGCGCCGCGAATACCCCGACGGGATGGTCACCACGCTGTGGGCCGGCGGCCGCCAGGAGACTCGCTACCCCACGGGCCTCGTACGCGTGCGTGACCGCGGCGGCGGTGCCAGCGCCGCCTCGCCGGCACCGTCCGCGCACGCCGCCCCGCCGGCCTCTCCGGCACGGGGCGTGCAGCCCCGCGGACGTCCCACAAGCCCCCGGGCCTACCCAGGGCCCGGCGGGGGTGGCGGCGCGCGCAGGGTGTGAGGTTTGGGAGGCGGCCCGCCGGGAGGGGTGGGGGTTGCGGGCGGCGTAGCTATCGGGTGTGCAGGCGGTGCAATTGCATCGGGGCCCGTGGGCCAGACCGGCTCAGGAAGCCGGCGTTACGAAAAGCGAGAGGAAGTTGTACGGTGGGCCCCGTGTCATTCCTTGAGGGCCCATGCCAGCCACGCTGCGCAAAAAACGCTGCGCCAACTGCGCTGCGCCAACCGCGGTGTGCCACTGGCAGGGTGGTGAGGGTGGCGACCCCGCACGTGGCGACGAATCGGTTCACCGGTTATGATTGATTCTTGCGCTCATGATATACGCATGAAATCATGAAAGTGAGAATTGCAAGTTTAAGAAAGTTTTATACAAGTTATGCGTTGTCATCATCATTACTATCATTATTATTACATTCAGGTGAACGGAGTGGACCGTAGAGCTGTTTTTTGAGTCGCATCTTCCTTTATCTCAGGGCGGGGGGGAGGGTGGGATGGGGAACCTTTTTCCTTACCGAGGGCCGAACGCTACGTTGAAAAACCTTTGGCGGGCAACCCCCACACGTCAGCGAGCGCACACCGCGGCGCTATCCGGCAAGACCGCGAAAAGCGTCGGCTGAGTATGACGAGGCCCTCGCAGTGGTGAAAGTGAACGAACGCGCTAAATGTATAAACACAGAGTTGCCAGGTCCACGATGTTTCTCAGCCAGTGCCCGCTGGGCGCCGCTAAGACGCTCACAGCGACGGTTACAAATGTCGTCTGTGGGCCGCTTCGCAGCGGCAGGATGTGTGTTGAGCCTCTTTCGCACGGTACGTAGCCAACCGTGCTGATCAGAGGTGCGGCGGAAAGGCCAACAAACTAAACACAAAAAGCAGTTTTAAAGAAATGAGTTTTAAATCTAGATGATGATTTGCAAGTGCAAAGCTCCAGTGGGCTTCCTAACACCGGAAGAGCGTTCCAGACGGACGTAAAAGAGCATCCGCAAGCGCCGTGCGATGCGGTGACTGTCTTTGTTCGATGGCTGAGCCAAAAAGCCGCTGCTGCGAGGCCTCCTACGAGGTAGGCCTACGACCACACTAGGCCTATGAGGTAGGCCTACGACCACACTGGGCCTACGAGGTAGACCAAGTGTGGTCGCGGGAGCCATGCGAAATAAAGTCGCAGGCCAAATTCGCTTCCCCAGCCCTGCTTGAAGTGGTCCCAGCCGTGATCCCAGCATGAAAATCATTCTTACGACAGGGTACTAATGTCTATATTAATAGAAATAATCATAGTCGTTAAAACGCTGATATCCAAACGTGTATTGGCGACTGTGTGTGCACTCAACGGAACAGTGCGGTAATGGAGAAATCGTGGACTATCCGACGTGATTCCGTGTCAGCTGGCACGGGTAGGCCTCATTAAACGACTGAGTTTATGCCATCGTTTTGGAGTCCCATTGGTCATCGTTGTCATCATCATCATCGTCATGAAACACCCCACGTGATTCTTAACAGCACAACCGCGAAAGCTCACGCGGTCGTATTAGCTCACGAGCAATGATGGTTGGTTGGTGTCACCTGGGAGGGCAAATGCTCCCAGTATCCGCCATGGGAAGTGTCCACCATGAGCAGAAGGCTTAGTTTATAGACCGTCCGTTTTATACACACACACGTGATATGTATTTCACACATTCCATAGATTTTTCACGTCACATTCGTTTTGTTTCTTCCAAAAAGATCTATTGTCATAAACACGGTAGCTTTCTTTAATGACATTTTTTTGCAAAAGTAGCCACCACAGAGACTTTGCTGTAATGCATCGTTGTGATCTAGCGCAATGGTTCTTAACCTGCGGTGCGAGATGCCCTTTCTAGGGGTGCTAGACACGGCCAGATTAATTTAGAAGGTAAATACTCGAACAAAAAATTAAGCACGTAAATACAACTACTTTGTTTCATCCAACACTTTCTTTATGAAAACTATTCATTTGTTCACGATTGAGAACCAACGGGGTTGCGGGCTGCAGTAAAGGTTAAGAACCACTGACCTAAAAATACCAGAAAATCATTATCACCGTTTGCCACCCTGGCTGGTCGGTATCGGTAAGTCAATTTTGGGCCAATGGGCATTCATTCGTATTCTGTGGCCCACTTCGTTTTGATGGGGTTTGAAGGTACCCGCAGCTGCTGGTGGCAAGCTACCCGCAGCTGGGGGTGGCACGGTAGCTGCAGCTGCTGGTGGTAAGGTACCCACAGCTGCGGGTGGTAAGGTACCCACGGCCGCTGGTGGCAAGGTACCCACAGCCACAGGTGGCAAGGTACCCACAGCTGCGGGTGGCAAGGTACCCACAGCTGCGGGTGGCAAGGTACCCACAGCCACAGGTGGCAAGGTACCCACAGCCACAGGTGGCAAGGTACCCACAGCCACAGGTGGTAAGGTACTCACAGCCACAGGTGGTAAGGTACCCGCAGCTACACGTGGCTACTTTGACGGTGTCCATGCTTGTGTACACCGACAGTCGGGCAGGGCAATGTCAGACCGGAGAGTGTGCGTCTTGAGGTCCAGGGTGATTTGATTGTGCATGTACAATGCGTATTGACACGGTAATATTTTGCGAGTGCCATGTTACTTTTTTTTTACGTATATATGTCCTTTCTTTTGTACTGAACGAGTGTGTTATGGAAATAAGTTCCTCGTTTCCAATGTATGCAAAGCGGCTCTCGTCGGGACATCCGCCTGCGTGTGCCATGAATTGCGTGTGCTAAACAGCGCTAAATTATTGTGTTTCTACTTGAATTAAATGCTCGCATAGGGGAAGAGTGTGGGGCGCCGTCTACGTGTCGGTCTGTCCAGAATTTCATCATCGTCCATGGTCAATCCACTGCTGGATGAAGGCTTCCCCCAAGCCCCGCGATGTCACAATCATCCATCCGGCACCTGCTGCACACGAACTGATTTCGTCGCTCAAGCCTTCCTAGCGTCGCGCACCTTCGCTGCCACTGCGTCATTGCCTGTGGCCATCGTCCCCTTCTGCCGACATTCCCGGTCCAGGCCCGCTTTTCTCAACTCAAAACAAACACATTCTCCTGCGGAGGGAGCTGGTAGGAACGTTGGGTTGCTCGGTCAATGGCCAGGGTCAACGGCGGCACCACCACGTGGTGTATTCCGCAAATATGCCCGACTGTGAGGGCGGGCACAAGCCGGCGTGAGTCGGTTAAACATTGAGTTTTATAAGGGCACCACGGGTGACCAGCCCCACCCCTCCCACCCCCGACCCAGCCCCTCCCCACAATCCCCTCTCCACCCAGCCCCACCCCTCCTATTTTTGGATGCACGATGGACGGACACAATAATCCCCTGTGGGCTGGTGTAACCTCTCTCAAAGCCTCACCTCTTCTCCATTGCCTCTTCCCGCTCCTCGCTCCTCTGCTCCTTCCAGGTCCATCCCCTGGAGCCCTTTCGTGACCCCCCCCCGCCACGTGCCCTCTGTTACGGTCACTAATTCTCAGCCTTCGCACACTGCCCCTTGCCATCCACTTCACATCTATTTGTGTTACCGCTTTCTGAACAGTGTAAAGCGCCTTTGGCTAAGGCGCTCTATGGACGTAGAATAACCAGCAGATAAGGGCTTTAAACAAGCAAAGAAATACGCAACTCATTGCCCTCCCCCCCCCCGTGGCATTGATTCAGTACAATAACAATTTTGACAGGTTTGAACACGCAGTGGTGAACTGCCAGATGTTTTAGGCAAGGGGCCGTCCATAAATGACGTCACGCACCTGGGGGGGGGGGGTCAGACATTTGTGACGTGTGACGAGGGGAAGGGGGGTTGAGAAATGTGACGTCACGTAAAAATGCGCAACTTTAAATAAATATAGCCACAACGTTCTAGTTAATTAAATAGACTTTTAAATCACTGTATTCTTCTACAACATCAGAGTGCAGCGCCACATTAAATACGCACTACAATGACAATAGTTTAAAGCGATTTGAAGCATGTTTTTTTTGGGGGGGGCGGGGGCAGAGCTTTGTGACGTCATATTTGAGGGGGGGGTCTGACTTTTTGTGACGCCGTGTGACGAGGGGGGGGGGGTCAAGAATCGTCCAAAATCGCGTGACGTCATTTATGGACGGCCCCCAAGGATCCTCTCTTTAAAATTGGGTGCTAAAAAGGCGCAATGTGTAATACAAATATCAAACTAATAATACAATGGTCCATGCCACCGTAGGAAAATTAATTAGGAGACGAGAATCCTCCTTCAGATCTCTCGCCGTCCACGTAAAAAAAACAAATACGTAAAAGTACTTTACGCATCCCACCGGCTACACGACCGTCTGGGGGAGTGCGTCATTTCGGCAGCATTGGTTCAACACAAAGCAACGCTTTCTATTCATTCGGCCACACGGAAGAAACATAACAGAGGGGCAGACAGAGGGAGCTAGAGAGACAGTGGGCAAGATACACGAGCGATGATATACTGGTAGGAACCTCCTGGTTACACCACCAGCCCACAGGGGATTATTGTGTCCGTCCGTCCGTCGTGCATCCAAAAATGGGAGGGGTGGGGCTGGGTGGAGAGGGGAGGGTGGGGAGGGGCTGGGTGGGGAGGGGAGGGTGGGGAGGGGCTGAGTGGAGAGGGTGGGGCTGGGTGGAGAAGGGAGCGTGGGGAGGGGCTGGGTGGGGAGGGTGGGGAGGGGCTGGGTGGGGAGGGTGGGGAGGGGCTGGGTGGGGAGGGTGGGGAGGGGCTGGGTGGGGAGGGTGGGGCTGGGTGGGGGGGTGGGAGAGGTGGGGCTGGGTGGGGAGGGACTGGTCACCCCGTGGTGCCCTTATAAAACTCAACGTTTAATCTACTCATGCCAGCTTGTGCCGCCCTCACAGTCGGGCATATTTGCGAAATACACCACGTGCCGCCGTTGACCCTGGCCACTGACCGAGCAATCCAACGTTCCTACCAGCTCCCTCCGCAGGAATGTGTTGTTTTAGTTATTAGGTCAAGGCCCACGGAGCTCTGTAGCTTTTTTTCAGAAGCGACCTGGCCACAGATGGCAGCTCAACTTAGTGGCCTATCATCACGTGGACATTTAGAGCAGCGAAATACTTTAAACGCGTGACGTTGATAAAACGTGGTGGGAAAAACCGGAGGACCCCGGAGAAAAATCCACGCGATCACGGGGAGAACATGCCAACTACAAATATACAGGCGCCAGGGTCGGGACCGAACCCACAGACCTCCTGTATACAAGGCGAGGTAGTTAACATCTTACCACCGTGATCCATGTTGTTCAGATGGATCAAAGAGAGAGAGAGAGTTATTGTGGTTGTTATACCATGGGGGTATTGGGAAATCCAGGCTTTTAACCAGAGGTGGATCTAGAAACATCCCAGGGGAGGGGACGGTCCGTTAATGTCAATCATTTTTAATAGTAAGTAGACTCCTGCATCGATAATATATTTAAAAACCAAACGTATTTTCTCCGGTAAACAGAGGTAAAATATCGATTTTTCAGGGTCGCAAATATGACCATCCCCCTTCCCTCCAAGGAACCCCCCCCCCCCCCTCGCCTCTTGGATCCGTCACTGTCCAGAATCCAGATCACTGGCCCAGGAGGTCGATATTTGCAGACGCGCGGTGTTCACGTGCACAATCAAAATTCTACGGAGCAAAGATAGAATTTGGCGATTTTTTTTATCCTTCCCGGAAGCCCACCCCGAATTTGAGTATCCAATACCAATACCCCCGCCATTCGCCACTAAGTCACAGTGATGTCATCATGGCGCCTGTGCCAGGCCAGGTGCACTTTGAGGCCACGTGACGTGTCAAAGGCAGGAGGACTCGGGACAGACCCGGCAGGTGCCATGGGTTGGCTGAGATGACTGGTAGATGCACTACCATCTGTATCCCCTACTGTGTCAGACGAGGTGCAGGTCTCGGGACAGAACCAGCAGGTGCCATGGGTTGGCCAAGATGACCGGTAGATGCACTACCAGCTGTATCCCCCACTGTGCCAGGCTAGGTGCAGGAGGTCTCGGGACAGACCCGGCAGGTGCCATGGGTTGGCTGAGATGACCGGTAGATGCACTACCAGCTGTACCCCCCACTGTGCCAGGCTAGGTGCAGGAGGTCTCGGGACAGACCCAGCAGGTGCCATGGGTTGACCAAGATGACCGGTAGATGTTTAATGAGAACCTTCCGAGACACATCGTGTAGAGGGCTTCTCACACTTGGCACAACACAGGCCGCTACATATATACACATGTCTCCTCTCACTGGGCACAACACTGGGTAATATATATAGTCTCTACTTGAGCTACGCACAGGCGACCTTTCCACATAGTCCCATCACCTACATCCAACCACACAGCTGACTGACTAGCGTGACGATGACGGCGATGGGAGTCGTGCAGAGGATCTTCCATGCGGCCGGACGACGGAGAGAGATGACGGCGAGCAGCGACGCAGCCAGGACCCTGCAACAACCCTGAACCCTCGGGTCCATTTCCCTTATATACCTCTCGACGTGGCCAGAGGCCCCGCCTCTGGCCACGCCCCCTTCCAGAACCTTCGAGCAGGTTCCCGGAGCTTCCCGACGAACCCCACCTTTAACCTTTAACCCAGACACGCCCCCCCCCCCCCTTCTGATTAGTTGTTACATCACCTTGCCCATACCCGCGATTACCCTTACAGGCCGACAGGTGGCACCCTGTCATTACAGATGCACCACCAGCTGCCCCCCCTGCATCAACCTTGAGTATCGAACATCCCTCCTCCAGCACTCGCGCTGCACGCAACAGCCAAGCAACACGGCTCACTGCAGTAGTCACATAGGGGCCGTCCGTAAATGGAAGATTTTTGACCCCCCCCCCTCAAATATGATGTCACAAAGCTCTGCCCCCCCCCAAAAATAAACCATGCTTCAAATCGCTTTAAACTATTGTCATTGTAGTGCGTAGATGTTGTAGGAGAAAACATTAATTAAAAAGTCTATTTAATTAAATAGAACGTGTTGTCTATATTTATTTAAAGTTGCGCATTTTGATGTGACGTCACATTTCTCAACCCCCCCCCTTCCCCTCGTCACACATCGTCACAAATGTCTGACCTCCCCCCATAGGTGCGTGACGTCATTTACGAACGGTCCCATACCCCCGGTTTATGTCGAGGAATATCCGAAACGACGTTAACTCGAAGCGATTTACGGGTGAGTAGTAGCGGTAGGTGGGTGGTGGTGGTGGTGGCGGTGGCGAAGACTCAGAGAGCGACGGATAACGAGAGAGAGAGAGGGCGGGACGACGTCGTTCAGCGACGTGGGTGGGTTGAGGCGACGCTCATCGGCTCGTGCTAGTACTAACAAAGCGACGTGAAGAGGGGGAGGAGACGTAAATCTGGGTGTTAGGGTACTGCGTGGTCGGCAGTAGAGAGCTGCGCAACCTAAGTCCACTTGTAACCTCGAGAGACGCCACGTAGCTGCCAACCCCTTATCAGTGCCCTACCTTATTACAGACCAACTCAGACCGTATTGGTCACGCCGTGCCCCTTATAAATCTCAACGTTCATCCTACAAAGTCCCATCACAAGGGATGAGAAACACAAACAAATTGACATTAAAAAACGTTTTTAAGAAAATGTTCCCGCACTGAAACGTCTGTACGCCGTATGGACCTGAAACCCTCAATGTCCCTGTACAAGAACACGGGGTATAAACCGTGTGGCTTGACGGGTATGAGACACGCTTCAGCATCTAAAACCGCTCACCGTACCACACCAATCGGCAAATGACCACGGCTGAATAATTCTGACCACCCACGGCAGCGTGCGGATGG